AACCTATTCCAGTGCCTCACCACCCTCCCAGTAAAGAACTTCTTCTTTATATCTAATCTAAACTTCCCCTGTTTAAGTTTAAAGCTATTACCCCTTGTCCTATCACTACAGTTCCTAACAAAGAGTCCCTCCCCAGCATCCTTGTAGACCCCCTTCAGATATTGGAAGGCTGCTGTGAGGTCTCCACGCAGCCTTCTCTTCTCCAGGCTGAACAACCCCAACTTTCTCAGCCTGTCTTCATACAGGAGGTGCTCCAGCCCTCTAATCATCCTTGTGGCCCTCCCCACTTTAAGTACTGTAGTAACTCAAGGTAGTTTACCTTCTTGACAGAGGGGTGGGCTACCTCAGATTCAGGTTGAGTTAAGGTACTGCATGCTTGCAGGTTAAGCATGAGACAGGGCTTACAGCTTTTATTTTGTTACGGTGGAGCTTTGTCAGTTCATACATCTTGAGCACCAAAGAAGTAGACTTGACCAAGGAGATTGTGTCTTCTGTTCCCTGTTTAATACTGTGTGAAGTGGAACTGTATTTCTGTAACAGTGAAAATGGGTCAAACTTCAAATCTTTTACAAATATTGTCCCAAACAAAATGTTTGGAAGAATTGTTTTTCAGGTGTTTCTTTGGTTTTTGTTTTTTTTTTTTTTTTTTTTAAATTTTTTTTTTTTTGGAAAGACTATTTCTTCAGTGCGAGGTTTCCACATTCCATATAGAAACTTGTGAGTACAATGCAAGGTTCCTGGAGTTATGAAAAAAACACGGGATCGAGTTGAATTCTCTGTGATTCTATGAATTTTTGATGTAATTGAAGCTGTACATTGCTGCCAAGATTGACCACTAGATGGTGATACTACAACAGGATTTACTTCAATTATAAAACTGAATTTAGCTTTCTCTCAGACCTTCAGATTGACATTTTTCACTTTAACATTTGTTTTTATTAAACAACTCCAAGCAAGTGAAATCTGACATAGGTATGGTACACTGCCAAAGTTTTTAAATTGTGGGGTGGACGTTGGACTTTTCTATCAAGGAAAAAAAACTCTGAGTAATAGATTATTACAAGGCTTTAAAACAGTGGGTCATGATGTAATAGTAATAATAATTAAAAAATCTATCATAAATCTCAATATTTATTTAAAAAAACCTGTGCATGAAAGGGAAAATATTTATAGCTCTATATTTATGATATAATGTGGCAATTCAGTATTTAAGTGTAAACCCTGATTGGGTTGTTATTTATGGTATTATTATATTTGTGTATTACATTGGTGTTTGGGGCTGTTATTTCGCCACTAGTGTAGAAGCTCCAAAGAAAACATGCAATTACTTGTAAACTACTAAATATATCTTGTACTGGAAAGATACACCATGAGTAGTGTGATCAATACTCATCTTTATCCTGGGCTGTAATATATTCTTAATATTACACTATTCACTGCAGTTCCATTATATCCCCAATTCCCATTCGCTGATTTGCACAAGGTTGTTTTTAGAGAATTTTCCAACTCTTTGCTAAATTTATTAATGATACTATGCTGTGGCTGCCTGCAGTAACAGGAAGCTAGACTTTCTGTTTCAGGAAGGTCTCTTCAGTTCTTTTTTTAACCAAATATTTTTTGCTGATATCTCTCTGGAGATACTCACCATAACACCAAAGGGTGTGAGAAAAATGCTTGTACTTGATTTGTTCCTTACACACATAGCACACATTGACAGCTGGACAGAAATGTTTTAGCTGGATCACTACTAGCTTTATTAGTCTCGTAAGGTATCTCAAATTGCTTATTCATGCTATGCAGTAAAATTTTAATTACTGACTAATATAGCACAGCCATAAAGAACTAAAGGTATTCTACTGGTTCAGTATTTGGCATCATCAGAGTAGCTTTGTGCAGTCATCAGTGAAGTAGCGAGACAATCCAGGAATTGTGAGAAATAGGCCTGGGGTGGGGAGGTGTGTCAATCTTGAACTTCTGGTTATGTAATTATGGATTCTTGTATGTATTTCATGCAACACAGTTGGCTACTGTTCTTGCGTGCTCACAGAAATGATCATCTCTGCAAAGTGATGCTGGGAAAAGACAATACTCAGCAGATTGGGCAGTGTGGTGATTGGCTATTTTCATTACCGGCTGCCTGTTTGATCTCATGCAAAGACCTGTCATTCCAGCTGAGTGCTGTGATACTCTGCTAGAGTACTTGAGCTTCAGATAGTGCAGTAAAACCCCTTACTTCCTATACCAAAGATCTTTGTAGAATTGTTTTAGGCATGTGGATTAATGCTGCTTGCCCGTTTCAAGCACAGTGGTGGAGTCTTTTATGGTTAGATAAACAGTGAGTAAAACTGT